CAAGCGTTTCTGTTCCACTTTTCCCGAGCAAAAAGCAGAATTTCACCGCCACACGCTGTTCACGAAAATCAGCCATTGCAAAAACGACGATCACACAAAACAGTTGTCACTATAAACTCTGCCGAAACTAGTCCTTACCTTCTGAAGCAACGGTAGTCGGCTTATCGACTCAGGAATGTTAGCTCTATGTGCTCACAGCGGCAAAACGTGGTACTACAAAAGCTCTGCCCACAAAAAAATTAGTTTGGTTTCTTTTGGGTACCCCATCGTGTATATATATATGTATGTGTGCGTGTGTGTGTGTGTGTGTGTATAAGCACAATAAAACACCAAAGACATGGTTTTCTACCAAAAGAAAAAAAAAGGTCTTGAAAAACAAACTCTTCACAGAGAATAAAGAAACACACTGAAGGCAACATTACCCATTTTGGAAATAACATCCTTCTCAAATTAAAAACAGTCATAAATATAAGAAACTCAGAAAAGAAGGTAATTATCAATACCTCTTTAACATATATCAATAAAATGTGACACTAACTCTAAATTTCAGAAAGCGCTGAAATTTAAATGACTCACAAGTACATATAACATTAAGTTTTAAACAGGTAGGAATTTATTATCCACATGCCTACAAATAAGGTAATTTATGTTTCATTTTTCTTGTTTAACTTGTGAAAATACTACAAAAATTACATCTGCTTGCCATCAATTAATAATGCATTATGTACATCCATCTGCACCACATGGAAATTTCTTATAATACATAATTCAAACTATCTCTATAACAGGCTGTGAAGGCCCGTAGGGTTGTGAGACGAGGGCCCCACATTATATAGACAATCGGCTCAAAGATGGCGGTAAGGTTGTCAGCCTTACGCGCCGGCCACGCTCATGCCAAATTAAATATTATGAACTTCACAAAATTTTATCTATATGAATTTTCTAATTCCTTTATTGCTCAAAAATTGTACATAACTATCATGTCAAATACAATACTAAGAATGCAAATGTATCAATTAAATCAACAACTGTCTGTTCATTTAACTACAGCAAAGTCCAAACTGAAATCAGAAGACAATTTGTATGACAAATAATTTAGAACTGAAGTGAAATGAATGCTTCTTTTCTTACATTTCAAAGAGGAAATATATTTTGTTTTCTAAAAAAGGGGAATAAGAGTTTTGATTGTAACAATAGCTTTCACACATAGATTTTGCTATTCTTTCCACTGTGCCATTAGGTAGCAAATTCCTATTTAATAATATTAAGAGTAATCTCCATGACTAGAAGCTGATAAATGGCAATGATTATTAAAAAACTAGGATACATTCAGTGCTTGAGGTGGAATGAAAATAGAACCAGGATGGTTTTTCCCAAAAAAAGATATTGTACATTGCATTTACTGCCAAAGAAGTAACGGGATGCTTTTATGGCATTTAGAAAAGAACCGGGATGCCATCCTGCCGCATCCCACCCCACCTCAAGCCCTGGATACATTTCAAAGTGTAAAACGGGGACAATAAGGCTAAAGTGACTGACAGGGGATGAGAAAATGCTAAATGAGCTTCATGTAGATATACAATTTGAATGAACTTGTACAAACTCTGTAATAAACAACCTGAGATAGGAACACCTTAATATGAAACATAAATTTAGATAGTGTGATTTCACCAGTACTTTCATATTAATGTATATCAGGCCAGATCTCATCAGAAGTCATATGAGATGGTAATAATGATATACATGACAGAATGATCATAAAATCCTGAACACTGATAATTAACTTTCTGGTAACAGAAACCAAAAGTTTCCCACCACCAAAGTCCCTCACTGGCCTTTATCCACTTCCTACTCTCACAACCAAAATTCCTAACAATCATATTAATGTTTTCTTTCCACCTCCTTCTAAGTCTTCCATTTCATAGCTTGCTAAGAGGATTCTCTACCAAAATTCTGTATGCATCCTAAGCCACTTCCACCCAACTCCAGTTCTCACAGCCTATCTCTATAAGCTCCATCTTCATGTTAACCTCCCACCTCTCGTTCAGTCTTTTAGGCAGTTGCTTTCAAAGAGACTGCCCTACCAAAATCCTGTATGAATCTCTTGCACATCCTATATGAACTTCATGACCAGCCCTTAGTAAGCAACTTGATTTCACTATCCCAGTAATATAGAGCAAACATATAATAACCTCCATCGTTTATGCTAACCGTCTTACAGTGTATACACTTTTTCACCTTATTCTTCACTTCCACACTACATGTTTCAGCACTAATGTGCCATCCTCAGGTGTCTTTATGCACGTTAAACTATTGTACTGCATGCCATGATGTCTTCATTCTAAAATGACTAAAATCTGTATTCGTCATATATGTCGATGAATTCGAAATAATAAAACTTTTCAGGATTCATCCTATGTCGCACTCAAACACGCGAATTACGCCAATCCTCTTTTATGTGAGATGCACAAATGTATGTAGGACTGACTTTTATCTGTAACATGTTACAGATAAAAGTCAGAAAGTGGTATTAATGAATAACAATTTCACGTTACAAATACACAAATGTATGTAGGAAGAATGCTCACATAAAAGAGGATTGGCGTAATTCGCGTGTTTGAGTGCGACGTAGGATGAATCCTGAAAGGTTTTATTATTTAGAATTCATTGACATATATGACGAATACAGATTTTAGTCATTTTAGAATGAAGACATCATGGCGTGCAGTACAATAGTTTAACGTGCATAAAGACACCTGAGGATGGCACATTAGTGCTGAAACATGTAGTGGGGAAGTGAAGAATAAGGTGAAAAAGTGTATACACTGTAAGACGGTTAGCATAAACCATGGACATGAATCAGTGTAACAGGACGCTAAAATATAACATATATAATAACCTCATCATATCAATACCACAGAAACATAAGAAGTTAATTTTCATGCCAGGCTTGGAGGTACTCATAACTTTATGTCCTTTATTAATCACTAAGACATTTTAAGAAAGTGCAGATTATTCAGCTGTCATACTTCTTGTTGGGTATTTTAATTCAGTTTTATACAGGGCTCTACAAAAACAATCTGAATCTACTAGTCTTGTAAAACATTGAAGGCAGTCTTGCAGTAGACTTAATAAAAATATTTTTTGTTTGATAAAAACTCTGCAGTTTTCAACCTTCCTATAACAAAGGAGATATAGCTTTTCATTCAATTTTGAATGTTTAGTCTAAGTCAAAACAGTGTTCATCATTAGCCTCCAACAAATCACCTCTGGTGAGTGAACAATGTATACATGGAGACTGGTATCATACATGCCAAATGGTAGAACAAAATAAGTCTGTACTGCTCCATAAATGAAAGCAGGTACAATAACATGGGTCATATACTATATTCAATATTAAATATAAAAGCCTCAAGCATATATCTCTGTATGTGTACAAGTACACAGAAACTGACCTCTTGGTAGCGTCCCTCCACCCGTCATGCTGTTTGTGGTCTCACTGTAAACACTGTCACCATCTGAAACATCCCTGCTGACACTACGTCGCCAAGGTGCTGTGCCTTTTCCATCATGCCCAAATGGTCGTAAAAACTGAGAACTCTCAGATATCCGCCTGTGAAGAACATCATAAAGGACAACAAATTAATTTCACACACAACAAAAAAGCCAAATAACGTATGCAACTAACTGCAAGTATAAAGTACATTATCCTTAAATAAATTTAAACTAAAAATGTCTGGCCAATGTCTTATCAGATTGGCCTTTCATATACATTTACCTGCCACTGATCACATTCTGGAAAATGTAAACCTTAAATGGACGTAATTTAACACTGAGATCATTTTCTTGACATCACTGAAACTGAACATCAAATGAAGGAAAACTTTATGAGGTGGAGCATTAAAGGGGCATACCCCTGAATTATGCAGTCATAATTTTTTAAACTTCAACCCACCATTTAAATTATACTCTGAAATGTAGCATTTAAATATTTTACATATGACTTTCAGAAAAGAATTTGTTATTAAAAAAGTAGATTATGCAAGTAAATGTGGAAAGGCCCACTGACTTTCTCTCCTGGAGGTACAAGGTGGTTCAAATATGACCGGGACTGATTTGTGTGTAAACAAGCTGCACTGTGCAGCAGCTGTGCGACCTGGAGAGAGTGAAGCCACAACCTCCACCCTCCCTCCTGTTCGGGTTAACACCTGTTCAGTCCTGTCTGGGAGTTGCTAGAGTGATGAGCGAACATAAGGTATTGCAGAGCATGGAACAACGCATTGTGATCAAATTCCTCGGAGAAAATGTCCCGTCCGCTGAAATTCACCATAGACTCCAACATCAATATGGGGAAGAGTGTCTCTCACAGACCTGTGTGTTTGAGAGGTGTAAGTGCTTCAGAGAGGGCAGAGCGCAGAGCATGATCATCAGCCACGAACATCCATCACCGAGCCAAACACTGATTGTGCAGATGTGCTTATTCGTGAGAATAGGCGCATCAATATCAAGGAACTTGGAGCAATGCTGTCCATCAGTGTTGGTAGTGTAGATGACATCGTGAAATACCACCTGCACTATCACAAGGTGAATGCACGGTGTGTACTATGCACTTTGACAGATGTGAACAAAATGGTGCACATGCAAGCTGCCAGTCATCTACTACAGCAGTTTGAAGTCTATAGTGACCGCTGATTAAACGTGGGTACACTACTTCATTCCCGAGTCCCAGCAGTCATCACGCAAGTGGCAGCATACCAGTTCTCCCAAACCCAAGAGCACGTGGAGGAGCCATTCAGCAGGAAAAGTGATGGCAATGTTCTTCTGGGACTGGCAGGGGGTTATCCATGTAGACTTTCTGACAGATGCCAGAACAGTCAATGCAGCTTATTACTCAGACTTCCTGGCAACAGACATGAAGGAAAAGTTCAAATCCAAGCAGAAGACAGGTGGAAATTGGGTAGCCTTCCTTCAAGAAAATGCACGTCCCCATACGGCCAAAACAACAATGGAAACCCTCTGGAAATTGAAATGGAACCTTCTGACACATCCGCCGTACAATCCTGATTTGGCCCCAAGTGATTTCTACCTGTTTGAAAGGCTCAAATCAGACTTGCAAGGCATGTGGTTTGTGGACGACACCGTCATCCAGACTGTTCGGGAGTGGATATGCCGCCAACCGCAAGCCTTTTTTGAAAAGGGCATCAGGATGCTTCCAGAACGTTGGAAAAAATGTGTTGACTCCGGAGGGGAGTACGTTGAAGACTGACATGTGTAAGTAAGTGTTTGGCAATTATGGTTTAAAAAAAAAATCAGTCCCGGTCATATTTGAACCACCTTGTACATAAGAAGTGCAGTTTATTGAGCCAGTGGGCATGCAAACAATGTAGAAATATTAAAACACATAACTGGAGCAGCTACTGAAACTCCTCTATTCCAAATGGAAACTATATTTGTGTAACAAATCAACCAAACTGAATAAATATTTGTATATACATAGTTGTATTTTGGCAAGTTAAATATAAATTATACAAGTTTCACTCAAATCCAAAGAGCCATTCACTTTTACTCTGTTTTAAGGAAATATTTTTTGTGTCATCCAGTACAGCTCCTGTTATGAATGTCTCATTTACATGTAAGCAATGAAAGTTTGCAGTATGCTTATAAAGTAAGCTATTAGCACAATATAAATCTCAACGAGAAAGTAAAAAACATAGAGGATACCAGCATAAGACAGCCACCTAAATGTACATCTGATCCTGTAAACCTCCAGATTCTAAGCAAGTTAAAAATCTAAACGCTGGACACCTTGAACACAATGAATATCTGAATTATAAAATCAAAACAAAGAAAGTAATAGCATATGAGAGCCATCTAACTGTAAATCTGCTCCTGTAAACCTCCATACTTCCAACAATTTAAAACTGTAAACCTTGCACACCTAGCACTCATAAAGGGAAGACACTAGGCTTAACTCTGCTGCTGCAGTTTACATCCATTCATTAATACAGAGGGGCAGTAACAAAATACTCTTCTATGAAACTCACATGGTTACCAGAACTGAAATTCAATGCACATCAGTATTCAATAACGTCCATATCGTCTTGTTTAGTATTGAAGAATACTATATATTACACACGTGAAAGTTGTTAAGGTCCTATGGGAAGCTAAATGAAAACTGATCAACACCTTCAATAAGAGAGAGTGAATTTATATTGTAACAAACAATTTCAATTTGTATGAATATACCACTAATATCACTGTTGTGCTGTACCACATTATCCTTACAATAAGAACCATAGAAGTCAGTAACACTGAAGGTCAAATCATTAATTGCCTTTAATACTTTGGACTATATCAGATATTACCTCCTGATTTATATGGATCAGACACTAGGGCTATTAAGGGTTTTATAAAATTATGTTAAAGGAAAAGTAAGTAAAGCATAAATATGAGATTCAACCTCAAAACAATGTATCCCTTCCAGTAAATAAAATACAGTGACTAATGTCTCCAACTACTATGGTCAGTTCATCCTGTATGGCTTTAGAAATTGTGAAGGGATTTCATGATCATTGAATCAGCTGCTGACAGAAGGGTTCTGCAACTTAACAGGTCTGCTATCAGCCTTTTGGTGAGCAATTTAAATTCCCAGCTCAGAGTTTTTAAATGTAAAGGAACTTTTAATACATTCATTGACAATCAAAATCTGGAAACACTCTACTCATAAAACGACAGACAAGAATCTGTACTTCGTTTGGCTTATTTTGGACTTCATCCATCATCTGGTATGTAAAAGACAAAAGACCACGACGTTTCGGAGACTGGATCTGTCTCTGTCTTCAGGTGGGTAGGGAAGGATAAACCTACTCAGTTGGGCCCATTAGAAAGAGCTAGTCTCAATCACTGGGCTTTTGTCTTTTACATACCAGACGATGGATGAAGTCCAAAATAAGCCAAAAGAAGTACAGTATACACCATCATCAGAATCCTTTCAAGTCTATCAGACAAGAATCTGTTTGTAGTGTGCACTGCTGTCTGATCTAAGTTGGGTACAGTAATCTACATATGGGAAACGTGTATACTATTCAATAGGGGGAATGGAGAGAGGTAGTTACTCAAAATTACTGAGGGTTACAAACCCAAAAACATTTATAATGCTGATGAGATTATGTTGTTCTTCAGGTTTCGACCTTATAAGACAATGAGTTTGAAATGGGATCTCTGCAATGGTGAAAAGAATTCCAAAAAGAGGATAATGTTCCTGTTAGCCTGTAACGCTGATGGGTCTAACAAACTGCCATCATTAGTTACTGGGAAGAAAGCGGCCTCCATGGTCTAGGGGTAACGTTCCCACCTCATGACTGAAGGTATGCGGGTTCAAACCTGGCGGAGGTCATGGAATTTTTAAGGGCGGAAAAATTCAAGGAACAAGTCCTCCAGGAGGGACTTTAAGCTGTGGGTCCCGTGTCATAGATTTACGGCACGTAAAAGAACCTCATGTCTCTAGGAGACCTCTGAGCTAAATTTGGCAGAAAGTTTCCCGCCCAAAGTAGTTTCCAATGCCTCCAGTAGATGGGGAAGTATTAAGTACCACTGCCAGAGGAGGGGGGACCTCTCTGACAGAAAGGGACTAACTATTAGATACCACTGCCACCTCGCTGGCAGAAAGGGGCTAATAGCGAGCACCAGTACCGGTAGGGTATGGAGAGAGTAGAAATTAAAAGGGGGACGCACAATGGACCAATAACTGGTCTAAGTGCATGGGGAAACCCATCCCCTCTATACTCAATACTCAATACTGGGAAGAATGAAAGACCATGTTGCTTTATAAATGTCAGAAAGCTGCCCACAAAATATGTAGCCAAGAGAAGGGAATAGCTTATACAAGCCATCTTTACTGACAATTTATGGGCATTAGATGCCACAATGAGTTCCATAAACAGAAAGATTTTATTCTTCATTGATCCATGTGCTGATCATACCCAAGACAAATATTATCTAAAGAATGTGAAAGCTGTGCTTTTCCTTTCATATTGCACCAGCATGCTCCAATCATATAAGTGGTATTAGGTCATTCAAACATTATTCCACAAGCAACTTCTAGAAAAAACTACTTTTGTGATCCATTACAAGTTGTGTCACGATGCCACACTCATGAAGATTAAATGTTTTGGACACACAACATTTCACTCAGAAATCAAGGCACTGTACCAAACACATATGGTAATAGTGAATTATTTTCAGACATGTGTATTAAAATTGAATCAAACCAATGATGGTGAAGATGCAACAGAACTTAGCATAGCCAAAAATGACTGGGGCCAGCTGAAGCAGCCATCTCATTCCAAGAATACCTATTCTGGAATAATTACATTGTAATGTGTGAGGTGCAGACTTTAAAAGAAATATGGATGTAAAGATTGCATCTGGTATGTCTGAGGAAAGGGGGGGGGAGGATGATGATGGCAGAAAAAGTGCATCACCAGCAATATTCTTGTCAACAGTGGGGGGCATCAACATTGAGTAAATACCCCATAAAGTTTGATGCCAATGGTAACATGATGGTGGCCCTCAGTAGCATCGAGAACAACTTGTACAGGGTTCAACAGAACGCAAAGAAGCAGAACTTACATAAATCAACATGTCAAAGAACTAGTTTACATTTTTAATACAGTACAGCAATAATTTAGTGCATTTAATTTCAACAGCCACATAATGTTTCATTTCCTTGATTTCAAATTGATTTTAAATAGTCCCTCCAGAAATGTAACATCTAGGTGGCACTATTGCAATCTTTATGTTAGACAGAAGACCATCTTGACAAGCAAATGATGTGCTATACTGAAAGTATCTAGAAGCTCAATGGTGGAAACACACAACTCCTGTACCACTTCACTTGCGAATGTCTTAATGTCAGTAGTATACAATCACAAACACTTGATTCTTACAAGCCCTGATTTAAGTATTCCAGCAACTGTTACAAGTATTGTAAAAAAATATAAGCAGCATAAGATCTCTACATTCAAAAATTTGTTTTCAAACACTCAGTACAGCAACACAACACTAATGTATGTACAGAGCATCAATATGACCAATGACCAGGGATATTACTGTCCAATTTACTGTAAAAATTCAGACACAGACATGTGTTCCCAGAATACTTCACCTGGAAAGTGGTTCTCCTTGTCGACTGTACACATTGCTCCAGAAACCACTCGATGGAGAAGCACGTCCAGAAGGTGCTATATGGCTCAACAATCGACTTGACGGGAAACCTGGACGACCACCATCTTCAACATTTAACCTCTGAGTCAAACTACGTACCTAAAAAGAGGAAGGAAATGGTATCACACCAAGACAGACAAAAAAATTATCTGATTGCATCATTTTTTCTTTCAAACTTTCCTATACTGAATAAAGTAAATGATCTTGACAACCAAGTAACCAGAGCAGAAGTCTTTCATCATCTGTTCCTTTATTTAACAACACTCTGTCAACTTCATAGGTTACAGTGCATTAAATGGCAGGATGACTGCATGAATTGGACACAAAAAGTGGATACTGCCAACTTTAAAGTTCCAAGGCTTTTCCCAGATGGACCAAGGAAAACCATGAAAAAACTGTCACAATCTCTGGGCTATCGTTCAATCACCTGACATCCCAGATATGATGTTCAGTTTCAATCAATTTTACTATATTAATTATCATAACAAAAAGGTCATCAGATAAATTGCAGTTTTCAGTATTGCATACAAAAGAAAGAACAAAGTACATGAGATCAGAACAGCTGGTATCTGAGATGAGATTTTAATTCAGGACCTCCCAAATGTGAGGCACAATATTCTATCCATATGAACAATGAACAGACCTGAGAGTAAAAGTAACAATAATCCAAACAGACTAATACTCACATGGAAGCAAACACAATGTATGAATTCTGTATAAGCAATACACTCACTCTGGAGAGAAGGGTGGAAAAGAGGGATTCCGCGGTAAGAATTTCAAAGCCATCATCGTCGTCATCCTCCTCAGCAGAGCTCAAACTATCGTTGTGTTCCAGTGGTGTTCGTCGGTTTGGCCTGGAACTCCTTTAATTATATACAGTTTGCATCAACAACAATGAACATATCACTTATTCTTTGTCTAACTTATCAATATGTTTAGTATCAAGAGCTGTTTCAGTATTCTGTTGACAATGATACATAGACTAGAAGTCTACAACAAGTGGATATTCAGTGTATAAAATGAATAACAAAGACAGATTTATAATTTTAATATCATATTTTGTTTTTGTTATGTATGTTTACAATCGCCAATTTATGGATGGCATGATTTTTAAGGTATGAAATTCCAAATGAGTCTGTAGTAAATTTTCATGACCAATTTTTAAATGTTCAGTTATCAGGCTTTTTAATTTTACACAAGCCAGCACATAAGTGGTTTTCAACTTAAACAATCTTTCTGTTTCCACCATGGGCTGTGAAAAACAAGTAATATGTCGGAACAAGACAAGAGTACTACTACAGAGTCCAGCATCACATATGTAATTCTTAGGCTATTTAAAGGTATTTTCAGATTACACCTGAATGGTAGCAAGATTATGAAGAAACAAGATTAGAAAGCATATACTGTATTTCATAATGTAGTATAAAAAATTCTCAATGACATTCTTTGAAGTTCATAAACACTCACACGTCAATTTAGCAATGGCATTTCAAAAAACACATGTATCATCTAAAATGACCAAAATTCATACTTCAGAGCACAATTCACAATATCAAATTTAAATAAAAATCTTGGAATCATTCATGCAATACATGAAAAATTACATTCATAGGATTATGTAAAGCAGGTTTTGTAACTGGCCAACATGGCTAACAACTGGAATGGCTGACATTACAGAAAGATAAAAAATATCAACAAAATTTGACTACTGGTTCTCTTTTAAGGTACTATCCCAGTCTAAGTCTGTAAAGGACTGATGAAATCAATAATAAATCTCAAGTCAGGTTAGTTCATTTCAGTCCCAAGACTCATATGTAGCATCTCCTGAACATGAAGCAGGATCTCCTGTACATAAAGCAGAAATGCTAACCACTCAACGTAATGTGTTCATAACTTATACGCTTCCTTAAGTATAATCAGAATGATCAAGTCAAGAAGAATGAGATGGGCATGACATGCAGGACGAATTGGGGAGAAGAGGAATGCATATAGGATATTGGTGGGAAAGCCAGAAGGAAAGAGACCACTGGGAAGACCAACATAGGTGGATGGACAATATTAATATGGATCTTAGAGAGATAGGATGGGATGGCACAGATTAGAATGATCTGGCTCAGGATAGGGACCAGTGAACGGCTCTTGTGAATATAGTAATGAACCTTTGGGTTCCATAAAATGCTAGGAAATTCTTGAGTAGCTGCAGAATTGGAGACTCCTCAAGCAGGGCTCAGCTCCGTGAGTGAGTGAGTCAATGTAATGTGTGGTTTGCATCATATGTGATATGGTGTTAAAGTAGTTAATGTTCTCCCTTCTGTACTTCTCATCTAAAACGGGTATATTCAAAGTCATATAAGTACACACCTTATTGCTACACTCAGTGTTAACTTACCTTAACCTGTGCATGTGATGGATAGATCTCTCATCATCAGGATCATCCTTGCCAAGAGAACTGTGCCTCTGAAGAGTAGCAAATGGACTACTCAGACTGTTGAAGCCTTCATCCTCACTGGCCCCACTGTCACTTAGCAGACTGCTGTAACAGAAGAACGTGGTACTCATCTAAATAATTATTTGTTCACTGTATGAAATACAAGGTGTGGCAATTTAATTCCTGGAATGGCCGCATCATGTTGCTGGGGTGTTGAGTCAGTTAAACTCATACCCAAGCATGTTTGGACATGTTCCAACTTGCATTTATATGAGCCACAGACCAAATAAGTCATTTGTTCCCAAGCAGCAGAGGAAGCAGTATGTGTCCGTGGTATACCGTTGGCAGAAAAATGAGTGACAAGAATCTGGAACAGCCGATAAACATCAAGTTTGTGTGAAGATTGCTAGAAGTGCTAGTGAAACTTCAGCCTTCATAACAGTGACTCATGGCAAATATTCTATGAAGAAATCATGTGTTTCTGAATAGCACAGGCAGTTCAAGAAAGAGCAAGGTGATGTGCAGGATGACCCAAGAATTGGGCAGCCAAAAACACAAAGGACAGATGCAAATGTGGACAGAGTATGAACCTTGCTGTGCTCAAATCAAAGATTATGTGTGAGATTATCAGCAAAAGAACTGAATTCAAATAAGGAAACAGTGTAACAGATTATTACAGAGGATTTGGGAATAAGAAAAATTTCCACAAAGATGGTGCCTTGAATCTTGATAGATGACCAGGAACAACACTGGCTTCATATTTCATCTGATCTTTTGCACAATGCAGATATGTTTGATAGGGTTATTACCGGTGATAAAACATCAATCAAGCAATTGATTGATCAATCACCCAATCACTCTCACGCACTCACTACTCATGCAGCTAAGGCCTTCTTGAGAAGCCACCAATTGTAGAGCTACTAAAGAACTTCCAGGCATATTATGGAACAAGAAGGTTTATTACCTTGTTCACAAGAGCTCTCCATTGGTCCTTATCCTGAGCCAGATCAATCCAATCCATATCATCCCATCCTAACTCTCTAAGATCCATTTTACTATTGTCCATCCACCTATGTCTTGGTCATGGAAAGGGGAAGCACAATAGATCATTGAAGGTCGCAGTGGGAGGGCCAGATTTTATGGCCAACACCTTACACACATACATACATACGTACATCTTGGTCTTCCCAGTGGTCTCTCTCCATCTGGCTTTCCAACAATATCCTAATGCATTCCCCTTTTCCCCCATTCATGCTACATGCCCTGCCACCTCACCCCCTTGCCTTGATCATTCTAATTATACCTGGAGAAGAGTACAAGTTATGAAGCTCTTCATTAAGCAGTTTTCTCCAACCTCCTGTCACTCCATCTTTCTTCAGTCCAAATATTCTCCTCACAACCCTGTTCTCAAACACCCTCAGTCTTTGTTCCTCCCCTACTGTCAGAAACCAAGTTTCACACCCATACAGAACCACAGGCAAAATTATAGTTCTGTATATTCTAATTTTTATGTGTTTAGACAGTAGACAAAGAGACAAAAGGTTCTGGACTGAATGGTAGCAAGCAATGCCCAAATTCAATCTCCTCTTAATTTCCTCCTGAATCAAGTTTTGATCTGTTACTGTCATTCCCAAATATTTTAAATGTGCCAAATTTTCAGAACATCTATTAGTTATCTTCATATCATTATTTTTCTTTGCATTCTGGTAATGAGACAGAAACATATACTTAGTTTTCCCTGTGTCTACTTCTATACCAACATCCTTACTAGCATCAATTACAGTTTCTGCATTTTTCTTTGTGGTATTTATATTATCACCCAGTAGATTGACATCATCAGCGTAGACCAACAGCTGATGTGTCCCATTTAATTTCAGTCCCGCCTGGTTTCCCTGGACCTTCCTAATGGTATATTCTAAAGCAAAGTTGAAAATGAGTAGCAATAAATCATCTCCTTGTCTTAGACCATTCTGAATAGAAAATTTATCAGACAACTGTTTACCTGTACAGACTTTACTATACGTTTCGTTTAAAAAAATATCAGCCTAACTAGTTTAATGGGTACCTCAAACTCTATCAGAATATTGTATTTTACTTCCCTCCTAACTGAATCATAAGCTTTCTTGAAGTCTACGAATAGCTGATGTAATGTCTTATTGTACTCCCATTTTGTCTGTAGTATCTGATGAATGCAAAAGATCTGATCAATAGTTGATTTGTTACATTGAAACCCAGACAGATCACCCCCAATACCTTCACCTATTTACGGACTTAAGCCTGAGAGAAGAATATTGGATAAAATTTTGTATGAAGTTGATAGCAGTGATATCACATGATATAATAACAGACTCCTTCCACTGATCAGGCAATTTTTCCTTATTCCAAATAGAAGTAATTAGCTTATGGATCTTAGATCGTAATATTTCACCTCCTGCTTGAATAAGTTCTGTCAGAAGTTGATCACTACCTGGCGATTTATACCTTTTCATAATGTTGTATTTTAGCGTCCTGTTGCACTGATTTTCATCCACGATATGTATACATGGATTATACCTTTTCAATTTTGCAAAAGCACTTTCAACCTCAAAAGGGCTAGGATCAGGTACTGACAGCTCAGCTGTATGTATTTCTGTCTGCCTAACATCATATATTCAATAACTGAGAGAAGTAGTTCTTCCACCTGTTCAAAATGTTGTGGGAATCTGCAAGCAGATTACCATTCTCATCCTTCACTAAGTTACTGCTCGGCTGGTAACCCCTCTTAAAGTCATTTATTCCTCTATACAGGTCTCTAATGTTCTTGTTCTTAGTGTTCATTGCAAGCACATCAATTTTATCTTTCAGACATTCCCTTTTTTTGTTCCTGAGATGCCTGCTGGTTTCACGTCTTATATTGTTCAAATTATCCCCATTTAACTCACTTGGATCCTGTAACCACTGCAATTTGGGCTTCTTTCTTTGATATAATAATTTTGAGCATCTTTCATCGAACCATGGCTTATGCTTCTTCGGTTCATAATAACCTAGACTCTCTTTGGCAGAAATTTTGATATTCTCTCTAATAGTCTCCCAAGCTCTATTAATATCCCCCTCAGCATCTAAGTTTTCCAAAGCTGTGAACCTATTTGAGTATTCAATACAATACTGCTCTTTACCTTCTACTTTGTTTAATTTCTGGAGATTGAACCTCTCCATATGAAATCTGTGCATTATTTGTTTATTCTCTGCCATCTCTCCCTAGCTTTTGCCACAACCAGGTAGTGTGGTCAGTATCACAATCTACTGCCCTGAGTGATCAGACATCAAGTATAGTTTAATGCTGTCTCCTATCTGTCGAAATATGGTCAATTTGGTTGTGTGTCTTCACATCACGAAATGTCCAAGGAAATTTATGAATGTTACAAAGTGGGAACATTGTACTTTTGATAGTAAGATTTTTGGATGTGGCAAAGTTTGCTACTCTAACTCCATTATCATTACTAACTTCATGTACACTCTCAATCCCAATTTCTGCTTAGAAAATGTCTTTCCTACCTACTTTGGCATTGAAATCTCCTAACAATATGACCTGGAAACAAAATGCCAGAGCATGCAGTGGAAAACACAGAATTCACCTTGGCCGGAAAAAGCATGCACATCTCACTCACAGTTCAAGACCATGCTTGTGGCTCTTCGATGACAAGGGGATAGTTCACTATGATTTCATCGCATAAGGACAAATGGTGAAGCAACTGTGTTATTTCGAAATGCTGACAAGGTTCTGGCAATCTGTTCAGAGGAAAAGATCCGAACTCTGGCCTGACAAGTGGATTCTCCACCATGACTTGCCCCTGTGCATGACGTGTTATTCACCTTATTCGCCTGACATAGCCCCCTGCGATTTTTGGCTCTTTCCAAAATTAAAAAATGCCCCAAAGGGACAAAAATTTGCTGACATTCCTGACAACCACATCAACATGATGTTACTGCAAGTTATTGTGGAAAACGATTTCCAAGACACTTTCTGGCAGTGGGACCACAGTTTCACAAGTGCACAGCTTCACAAGGTGATTTCAGGAATTAAATTGTCACACCTAGTATATTCTTGTTTTATCATTTGTTTCCTTATAAACTGAAAAAAAAAAACAAAGGAATGTCACTTCCAGAATATAACAGGCATGCATCATATAACTTCTTTCAGTTCCACACACGAATTTAGAAAAATTGAAGCACTAAGATGAGACCAAGAATTTTTCTCTATCACACCACTTTTTTCACTGTAATCACAATTTATAACAATAGCCACTTTTTCATAATGCACTAAGTGTGATTTTAAGATCTTCAATCAGAAAGCTCAATCCACCATTACCTTTAGAATAAAATTCAATTCCAGATTATAACAAAGAGAGAGATATTTTATTTGTACGCCTATTCGGGCCACTGTTTTGATCATTACTATCCTGGTGGACGGCATAGTTTGCATACTATTGTGCAAAGTACAAACAGTTACATGAAAATCCTCAAAGTTCAAGACTGAAAAATTAACATATAAATTTTGTTTGAAATTTTCTTTCTGGATTTAGTCTTGGAAAACCAATACACATACTTGCCTAGAATATGCATCAAATGTCGTTTCCATGAACAATAAAATCAACAAAATACTAATTTTATCAAATACAGTAGAACTTGGTTATAACGTCATCAAAGGGACCTAAAAATAGTGTCGTTATAAACGAATGTCGTTGTAACCGAAATGGGCACTTCCACAGTAGTCTTATGTCAGTCACGTAAAAATCTACCAAAAACCGAGTTAAAATGTTGCATTTTTTAGTGAAATACGTAGTTAAGTACAAACTAACGTAACATTAACGTGGAATTGCCCAAATGTGTAATATCAAAGACATATTACAGCGCTTTTCACTGACAATACACACAATATTTCACGAATCACTTTAACTTTCTCTTCAATGCTTAAAACTTTCCTTTTCATTGCCATGTTTTCGCTACTGCACTTCTCTGGGTTTAGGCAGGAACACTATAGGGTAAGTAGACAATGTGAGGTCCTGTTAGACGAGATTCTAGGAAAGGAATGCAGTTAACAACCTGCCGCGTCCTCTTGCACTATTCACGCAGTCCCACCCCACACCCTTGTTTTCGCATAAAACCCACGCTCCTCTTGCAGCCCGCGGTCGTATTCTTCCAGGACAGTCACGTCAGCAAGTAGAGAACGTGAGGGTGGGCAGACACATTGAACTTTCCCACGATATCAGAGAAATTCAGGAATGAAAATGACATTACATACGAGGTTGATGCATTTGTGCATGTCATACTAAGCAAGGTATAAAAACAGTTGCTTTATGAGGAATTAGTTCGTACCATTGAATATTTGACGCAATAGACAATGTGTCGCAGAAACCGATGTTGCTATAACCAAGTTTTACTGTACTCTATCATTCCTCCAACACCCTATATAAACTTCAAAAATAATTTCTAAATTACAAAATTAAGTTTTGTTAGAGTTTTATACAAAATAAAAATAATTTCCTTTGGGAAACATTATGTGCAGACTTAACAAAGGAAGAGCTCTGAATCCTATAGCTCTAGCTAAACCATGCACACTATATTCAATGGATACCACCACCCAGCCTATGTCCTATAAAATTCTCATCTGCCCTATTTAATTGCTGTATTCTTTGCACAAGCTAACTATTTATAGAAGATATCACATCAGTCTCTGCATCTACTGAGTTCACATGTTGTAACTCCAAAATATACACCACAATTTGATTAAATTTGATATGCAGAGCGACACTAAAAGATGTCAACTGAAATCTCTAGTCAGTTGTTATAACATGTTTTCATTAGGCTACTTAAAGCACAACACACTAAAACATAATTCTAAGCATCAGGGGGCACTGGTTCCAGTGTATATCTGTTCTGGAAATAACATGCTTTCAGCATGTGGCACACAGGCCTTAGCAAAAATGATGCTTCAAGAAAAGCTGTTACATGCTTTATAGTAACATAAAACGGCCATTACTAAATCCTTCTTCCTGGATACAACAGTAACGTTATTATATAGAGTACAATTTCATTTACGGCTACATATATAAAAGACCAATACCTCATTCTTCTGGGTATGTTAAAACGTCCAGAAGAGCGATGGTGGTGACGTGATGCTTCAGTTGAAACCTCTGACACAGAAGGTTCCAAACTTCCAGCCCTTGGTGTAATATAGCCTCCACCTTCCACTGCAATTGGGATGATGTACTCCCGTGGAGATTTTCTTATAGGCTCTGGGCCGGGCACTGAGATTGTACTGTCTGTATCAGAGTCTTGTGTACTTTGCCGAGACAAGCTGCTTGATCTACAATCAAGACAAAATGAACACACAGTTCACTAAACATATCCTTCTGAGTATCATGACTAATTGGCATTTTTGTTTTTATCAGTATTAGAACGTAGGAAATTAAGAAATGAGGTTGAGGTGCCTCTAAGGGCATAATGGTAATGCCAAATTTTACAAAAATCTTACAATGGGTTAAAAGTTCAACTTTAGTTCTTAACATCTTCTGGGATATGATGCTGCATAGTGGGGCATCATTACCAACATTCTGGAGAAACATGCTGCCTGTACCTTCAGGGTAGGCTATAACATTACATGGTGTCACATTCCAGGTTATGAAAATCTTAAATCTCATGCAGAATACCACATGTCCTTGTACCACAATCTCCTCTCTGCCTGGATTGAACATGCACCTCATTATAACAAAGACCTATACGTAATTATAGGTCCCTGTGAGACTAGTTATACTCAGTCAATGTACGATATAACCTCTGTGTAAGAACTACAACTTCACGGAGCCTGGGAATTTTGGTGCATATGTGCTGGAGTCTGTGTAGAGTACCTCTGAGATACTGATCTCTGCTGCTGTACACAAGGTACTGGAGGTTTAGCAGGTGGTGGACTAGACACAGGACTGTTCTCATCTGAATTCTGTTCCATGCGTATTGGGATGATATGCTCCCGAGGTTTACTCCTACTGCTAGCAGTGCCTTCTGGTTCCAGGGATGATGACCTGCATACAACACAAGGCACAGCAAATTAAAATCAAGGATGCAGATGTATTCCACAAACAATTTATGCACAGTAAATAGATATAATAAATAACACAAATAACAGAATACTTTTCATATTGGCATGTCAACAGACATTATCTTAAAATGCATCCATTAACTGAATCTTAATTTATAAAATTATTCTTTATCAAATGGTTAGCTTATGAAGCCTGGAATGGTAGGATAATTTGTGAATGATGATTTGGAAAAATATGGGGGGATCCCAGCATTTTCCTGGTATGACTGAGAACACTACAAGATATCTCAATCATGACAGCCACATTCTTGGATGAGGTATAAAGCAAGGACCTTCATAATACTGTCACGTGTATGAGTGACCCTTGACAGGGATTTGCATTGGATATTGGATTTACTGACCACTTTAATGCATGACTACACTTAATTACAGCACCACTGCTAATATCCACACTTTACAAATCACTAGAGCACACAGACCAGTGTTCTCAGTCTGCTATTGTCTCCACTAGTCGTTTCCTAATAACATCCTTAACAGTGGGGATTCTTCAACTTCTGTGCTCAAGTATTCTCTGAATGGCAGCTCCCTGCCAACTGACTAACTTCTAACAATGTCCCAGTTATAACATCTCTGCTTGAAACAACAGAACACACAACTCGTCTATTGAAAATGTCTTCCCTACCTACCTTGGCACTGAAATCTCCTAACAAATTTTCATATGGTATTTAGGAAATTTACTGAATACTCATTCTAGTTCCTCATAGAAGCTCTCCTTCATATCATCAATTTTATGCTCTGTTGACTCTCCATATCTGGAGGCCATCTCCTCTATCCTCAACCTGAGGACACACCTAACATGACATTGGTATGCACCAAAAGTCTGGCGACACTGCTGTTTTTAGAATTGACCCCTAACACAGCATACATACAAACCAGCATGACTTTAATTTATGCATTTCAGGTGCAAACAGTGAACACAGCTTTGCATGCCTGTCAAGGGCAGCTTGTAATATGCATCATTTGGGGGTACAAGAGGTTATGTAAGCATTAGGAAATCTTTAATTTCTTTGCTTGGATAATATTAAATATATCAAGACTGTTAAACTGATCTTTGTTACTTCCTACTTCTGAGATAACAACTTCAAATAAGTTCAGAAATGTTGCAAAGCATAACAGTTCTGATGCACTTGCTTTATTACAGTCTGTAGACAGTATAAAATCTATTTTGTTAGGGCTTACAGGAAAAGTATATTAGGCACAAAACGTTTTATTCTCCTCTACAACTTTCATTCAAAACGATTATCACTTTGATAAATATTTAGCATGTTACACATGGGTTAAACTTATGATGTGCACATAAATGCATGTAGGTCTTCAAGAAATGTGTCTGTTACTGTTGTCTGACTTTCACCAAAACCAAAATGTTTTGATAAATTTACTAAAATATGACATTGAACTCAAATGCATTTGACAGTTTTTGAACTGTTATATGCAGACAAATGGATGAACAAACAAACGTGATGGAACCAGTATGCACATTCTGCATCTCTGTCATGAAAGCACCAAAAAGAATATATTTTGTGACATCAGCATTAATTTCTTGAAACCTTATATCCATATAGCAATTTTATATGCATATTTAGACTTCAGCAGAGAGACTTGAAGATTATATATTTCAATTACTTTTGGATATTATGAGTCCTGTTACAATGAGCACTTTCATGAATTTTATATATTCTTGTATTATTAAGATTTCACTGCAATTAATGGTCACTAAGAACACAATGACCCTACCTGAATGTCAATGGCTTCACATTAGTAGCTGCAGCCACTGGAAATGCAACTTCAGAACGCTGAGTTTGCAACCTAGAAGGAGCAGTAGTGCCAACCATGTGCTCAACTTCAGTCCTATATTCCCCAGGTGCTCCTGTTGCAGGCGGAAAACCTAAAAATCAATTGTAAATTAGTGGTATCTAAAGTTATAATTAAAGTAGCAGAATGGAGGGAAGGACATCATAACACACACAAATGGATAAAGAAATAGAAGAGTGGGGGAAAACGACTAGTTTGCGCAACCTTTCCTGCGGCATGGGTGTTATTTCTGTTATCATCTACTTCCTAGATGTAGGTGTGGTGTTGTTTTCTCTCATATGTGCCCCTTTGGCTGTAGATTCATCACCTGGCCTATGTAGTTGCACTGTTGTTGACTACTGTGTGTATGCGGATATTCACACCACACCTACGACCAAAAACTACACGATAACACAAACACACCCATGCCACAGGAAAGGTTGTGCAAACAAGTCATTTGGATGAGTAGATGATACCCACAAGAAGAAAGGAATTTAACTGGTTTTAACTAAAATTAATTAGGATTGGCCTACTTCAATTATTAATTCTGATATGAAATTGTGACATACCGTGCAGTGCAGCAGTTTTAGCATAGTGGTGGACACGGATAATGGCTGTGGACAGGCGAAACATGTTGTGAACAAAAAACTAAATCACTATGAGTTGCATTAGTGACAGACATATGGATATATTATACAAAATAAATTATTTCCTTGCACTGACACCTTAAAACTTTGTAACAATGCTAACGTATTATGTTACAATGGCTTAATTAGGTATATGGTACCATAACATGTTGAACATTCAATGTTCAGAAAATTCTCTGCTCCAGTTCATGTTTGGTACCAAGGGAGCCAGATTTAAGGGTTCTGACCTGTTGTATCCTACTGTTATCATCCTGAGCTAGCCTTATATGAAATACTGCATCAGAAGTATGTTTAAATGATTTCCTCAGTCTTAACCTACATATTTCACATAATGTCTGCAGCTACATGGGGAAAAATAAGCTGTCCATAGTCATGTAAGTATAATTTCCAAACATCAGAAATTGAAAAATCTACAAATCCATACTGTCAGATGTTCACCAATAACCTTGAATGGCTGACATGTTTTCAACTAAACCCAGGTATTACAGAAGTCAGCATGGTTGGAAGTGCTGCATTACTGCACAAATAAACACATCAAATTTTTAAGCTGAAGTGTGGGGCTTCATCTCTGACCGAGCACTTGGATAGTTTCTATAGCAAAAGGGAGTTAGTAACAACTAAATTCTCAAAAAATCTTAACTGTTCCATGTGTTTCTACAGCTAGATAAAAGTATTAATAATATACCATACATAACAAAATTACTGATGTCACAGCTGCATACTGTAGTTTTATAGTAAGTCACAAAAGGCTGGTCACTCTGCTCTAGAGTAACTTCCACATACCTAACTGAATTTCAGCTTTCGATGTTCGCCTTCTTGGTAATGTGGCAGACTTCAATGTAATTTCAACTTTTGCTGATTTCTTCTTTGCTGGCAATGTAATGTCCTGGCTTGTTTCAACTTGCTTAGTTTCAGATGTGTCTTCTTCCTAAAAACAGAGTTAAAACATTTACATTTCCTTTTGACTACAATACCCACAACTGTTCTGCTGGTTACATGGTGTTTCTGTATATAATGAAACACAATAGTCAACAAGCATTGTAATTTTAAGCTCCATGGTGATTCAGCTGTGACAGTAACTTCTTCTTGGGTGATGGTGCTGTATGAAATGGGATGAGCAAACTCTCTGGAGGTACATACTTCTTCATTCTTCAGAGTTCGCCCTGAAGATGGAGGCAATATATTCCTCCATGTTTCCCTATCATGCTGCCATAGAAAAAGGGAGACAACTTCAAAACCGTTCTACTGGTTATTAATCACATTAAATGGCAACTATTTAAGTGTGCTACTATATATGCAAATGAAAAATAAACGTGAGTGCAAGACAACCCCACATTAGGAAATATACGTGGTGTAATCCAAAAGTTCCCGAAATATATTAATAAAACTATTACATCTTACATAGATCTTATTCTGCACCATCACCCTCAAAGTAGTCCCCTTGGGAGCGCATACACCGATCCCAGCGTTTCTGCCACTTTTAAAATGCATCCTGGAAGTATTTCTTTGTTAGGGTGTTTAGTACCGTCTGCGTTTCCACTTGAATTTCCTCAACTGTATCAAATCTTCGCCCCTTCAACTTGATTTTCATCTTGGGGAAGAGAAAGAAGTCGCATGGAGCTAACTCTGGTGAGTACGGTGGGTGGGGAACAACTGCCATCTTGTTTTTAGCCAAAAATTCCTGCACAATGTAAGCCGTATGTGGTTGTGTGTTGTCATGGTGGAGTACCCAGTCGTTTGTGCACCACTTCTCTGGACGTTTTCTCCTCATGTCCTCCCTCAAACACCTTAGAACATCGCGACAGAACTCTTTACTGACTGACTGACTGACTGACCAGGAGGGATGAACTCCTTATGAACAATCCCGTCAATATAAAAAAACAGATCAACATGGACTTAATGTTGCTCTTGACTTGTCGAGCTTTTTTTGGCCGAGGTGAAGAAGGGCTCTTCCATTGCGACGATTGCTGCTTGCTTTCAGGGTCGTAGCCATAAACCCAACTTTCGTCACCAGTGACAACCTTCAAAAGAAAGTTTGGATCCTCTTGAAGCTGTTGCTGAAGTTCCCTGCAGACTTCCGAGCGATGCTGCTTCTGTTCATTTTGCAGCAGTCGTCGCACAAACTTCGCCGCAATCCTCCTCATGTTCAGTTCCTCTGACAAAATTCGTTGATATGTACCATAACTTAGTCCCAAGGTGTTACAGAGGTCTTGGATGGTCAGTCTACGATCTTGCAGAGTCAGATCCCTAACATTCGCGACATTTTCTGGTGTTTTGCCCGTTGACGGCCACCCCGAACGATCATCATCATGTCAATGTTCGGCCATTTTTAAAACGCTTATACCAGTTGTAAGTTTGTGTCTGGCCTAAACTGTTTTCACCAAAAGCTTGCTTCAACATTTGGTGCGTTTCCGCAGCGGTTTTCCCAAGTTTGAAACAA